GGTGAGCATCTGCAAGCCAGAAACACAACTTTCACCAGGAACCAAACCAGCTGTGATCTTGCAGTCTCCAGAATTGTGAGGAAACATTGCTGTTGTTCGGCCCCACGGCCTGTGGTATTTTGTTACGGCAGCCTGAGATAGCTAAGACATAAGCATTACCTACATTGTTAACCTAAGTGTTAAGTCCAGCAGTGCATGCCTAAATATATATTTGGAGATCTATTTTTACTGTTTGTCCTCAGAAAAGGTCATGTCTTTGCTTATACAGTCAGAGATAAATGTAAGAGTTGTATTTTAAGATATTCTCTCTGGTAAAAGCTTCAGAGGGCACTTTTTTTTTATAAACAAAAGATAGAGTTTCTGCTGATGAAGAAATTGTAAGTGTAAATAACCAGTATAATGTCATCTTGGGTGTTTTGCACTTTCTCTTTTAAAAAGAAGCTGCTCAAACCTACTGAATAGCTGTTAAATAATAATCAAACTCTACCACGGATGAGTTTCTATTGCATTGAAGCAGCCCCAGGGGAGATGTAACTGTTACAGGATCTGTTTTGACAGTGAGGGTCAAATGCTGTTCTACTTCCTCGCTCCTGCTCTCCCTCCACCTTCCTGTCCTTACACATACACCCTTTGTATCTACAAACAGGACTACAGAAAAGTCTTTAGGAAAAATCTAACACCCCAAACATCTTACTATTTGTTCTACCTTACCAATGTCATATACACCTAAATCCAAGGGATCAATACTATCCTCTGAAGAGAGTTTACATTTTCAGAGAATGTCTGCCTGTATACTGAAATGTTTAATAGTAGTAAGCCCTATACCTATAGAGCACATTGTAGTTTTCAAAATGCTTTCATAGTCATTAGTTTCATACTGGCCTTAAGGGCTGTTTGGAGCCATCATTCCCATGTTTTCAGCAGAAAAACTAGGCTCAGGGGGATGAGGCTCAGGGGGATGAGTACAAGGTTCCACCAATGCTGAACCTCATTAAGTGGACTGGCTACAGGAACATAACAGACATGAAATTCTCCAAGCCTGCAAGTAACCAACAGGAAGAAAGTACCAAAATAAATCTCACAAGTGGAAAAAGTCAAACAGGTCTGCAGTTTCCATTTTTGGAACAGTTGCTTCCTGCATTTAGTAACGCAGGCTAATTGACATAGTTGTAATTCCTCAAATGGAAAATTGGAAATTTAGAACTTATTAGCTCCTTAATAGCATAAACCAGTGGCTTGCAAACTTTTTGGCTTCAGGATTTGTTTATCCTCTTAAAATGGTCTTAAAAACTATCAAAGACCCCAGAGAGCTTTTGTTTCTGTGAGTTTTATCTATCCATTTTTACTGTATTAGAAACTAAAATAGAAAATTTTAAATTATTTCATCAATTTATTGTAACACAAACTAGTTACATGTTAAACTAAATACCTCATTTTCAATACAAATATATTTCCCCAAACAAAATGAAAATTGTCACTGTTTTATATTTTCACAGATTTTGTTCATGTCTGGCTGATTTCTCATATATGAACCTGCATTCTCGCTGTGGCCAACAGCATATGTAGCACCGGGAAACTCCACTGCAAACCCAGAAGAGAATGAAAGTGAAAAGTCAAATAATATATGTGATATATGTGTTTTTATGGAAATAGTTTTTGATCTTGAAGACTGTCTGAGAGCACACCAAGGGTCACTGGGCCATACTTCCAGAACTATTGATGTAAACAACAGCAAACTCCAGAATTTTAAGATCACATGTTTTTAAGAATGTAATAATTTCTGAGGTACATGTTCTTAAGTACATAATGTCTGAGATACATATTCCTTCCAATAGAATCAGTTGTATATTTCAGTTTCTGTCTTTCCCTTGAATTTAAAAATGATCCTAACCAAAGAATTTCTAAATCTGTGAAACAAAGAACAAGGACTCTAGCCCATTTGGTCTCAGCCAGGACCTCCAGTAATGTAATTTCAGTTTCCTGATAGATGTGAACTCAGCCCTGCATATTTCTCTTTGTACCATCACTTACAACCAATAAGTTTCAATTAGGATGTTGACAACAGTCTAAACTCTTGGACTGTTGGGTCCCCAAAGAGAGTGGCAGACCTCTATGTTTAATGCCAGTCTGAGGCAAGGAGAGGCCTCTTTGTCTTGGACATCATCACCCTGAGGATCTTCCAGCTTCTCAGAACAAATCTATCTCTGATGTGGTGGGACAGTAAAAACTCTGAGTGCTGGCTCCTTGTTACTCACCTAGTGAGAAAGGTATTAATGTTTGGCCACTTGTCATAGTCGGGAAATACTCAAATGCAGTATTACTTAATAAAACAGTTCAGAATGTGATGTCCTGTTTCTCTATATACCGTCAACTAAGCCAGTGACAGGGGAGTCACAGTCCCTTAATTAATCACTCTTCTTTGTGAAATAGTGTGACTCCTGTCTTTCCCTTTCTCCTTTTGTTCTTCCTAAAATATTATGAATGAGGCACTATAACAGATAAATCTCAAATTTTCTGGCTACCAATTCTGTTTATTTTTAACTGTTAAATATTTCTTTTTCCTAAATCAGAGGAAAGCATGCCCCACATTTTACAGAAAATTAAACATATAGTAAAAAAAAAAATTAGCAATTATAATTGCCCATAACTACTCTCTTGTAGGTGATTTTAATAAATTCTCCTAGGTTTTTTTCCTGTGTTTTTACCTACTTGTGATCATACAAACATACAATTTTGTATCCTTCTTAGTCGTTTAACATTGTATCATAGGCAGCTTCAATGTTATTTAAAACTTAACATAAACATAACTTTCATGACCAAAGTTGGCAATAAATACCTCAATGTACAAATCTTATTCCTCACTGAAGATTTCCTTAGGACAATTTGCTTCCTGGAAGTGGAATTGTTTGGGGGAAAATCTGTACATTTTACAGCTTCTGTCAACACACTGACAAGTTGTTTCCCAGTGTATCAAAGTTACACTTCCAGATGAGCGGGCTCATTTCATGGCATACTCACCAGTATTGAAGGCAATGTTTATATGCAATAATCTTTGCTAATATGATTGGTAAGGGCAAAAATCTTTAAAATCTGCAATTCAACCAGTGAAAGGAAGGCAGAGCTTGGTTTACCCCAAAAGTCACTGTATCAACATTCTTGGTGGAAAACATTGAAACCAATTCCAGTGAACTGAATCAGAAGAGAAAGACCTTGGAAGTGGAAGACCATCAGGTAGCATACCAAAGGGACAGGAAGGCTGGAGAATCAGGCTCATCAAAGAGGCAGAGGAGCTGGTAGCTGGAAGCAGGACAGGTCACACTGCCTAGGACAGTCACTTAAAGACACCACAGGTACTGCCACTGGACACTCCCACCTCTCACCTCTCGCCTCTGGCACTGCTGTCTCTGGGCACAAAGCCACTTCACAGATAATGGAATCATTCCTAAAATGTCTCTTCTTTGAATCACATACTCCAGAGTCAAACCCTGGGTAAGAGTCTCTGATGGGCTGAATTTAGGGTACATAATGGTGCCCCAGCTCCAAGGAGTGGAGACAGTGAATATTGAGCCATTTTGACTTTAATGAGAGTATAGATTCTAGGCAGCAAGACCCATGACCAATGACCGCTATAAATATTTATGTGAAATTCTTTGTTCTGTAATACCTCCTAGGAATCTGGTATATTTTCCTCATGACCACTGGATTTTAGATTGTCTAGAAGGTCATGAAATTACCGAGTGTAGAACTGCAAACTCAGATGTCTACCACACGCTCAAATGTCAGAGGGAGGGGCATAGAGGAGTAGTGGGGACTGGAAAACTGAAGAGCATCTTTCCCATCTCAAGGGAACACCTACTACTTGGCTCCAGCTGATGGCTGCTAGCACCCACATGAACCAAAGTTTTGCCAGTTCTTCCCACTTTTCAGAACATGTCAAACGTCTGAATTTTTGTGAAATTACCTGATTTTAAAAGTTAGAACCAAATTCAACATTAGAAAAGCAAAAAGCCATTGTTTCTTAAAAATCGAGGCTGCAGGCTGCCTTCCATGGTCAAACCTCTTCATTTTTAAAACCAGGTCAGAGAGATGAGGACTAAGGTGAAATGCCTGAAGCCAAACAGCTCACTCCGCATCAAAGCCAGGGCTTGAAGTTTGCTCTCCTGAGGAAAAGCAGATTAGGAAAAGAGCATGTGCCACTACTCCTTTCTGCAGTTCCTTCTCTGACCTGGAAGCACCCTCCCACGCAAACTCAGGAAAAGTGGAAAAGTGCCTGTGTTTGTAAAACGTTCATAAATGAATAGAGTCTGCCTAGCCAGTAGAAACAGCTTTTGGTGCTTGGTGTCACATCAGAACTTAAACCTTAACTTCTACTATTTTCTAGGGGGATAACCTGGGTTAAATTACTTCTCTGTGTCTTAGTCATGAGAAAAATAAGAGTACCGTTTAATAAAATAATAAAATTTCGTATGTAGAGTGCCTGGCACGGTGCCAAGGCCATATTAAAAACACTGTGCATAAGATAATACTCAGAGAAATCATCAGTTTGCGTGGCCCGAGTACAGGAAGGGGGGAGGGGGAAAGAGGACTGAAGTGGTTCGGGTGGGGTTCGGCTACGGAGAATACGAGGCGTGAGTGAGATTTTTACCAAAACTCTATTCTCCCGACTCCAGTGCGAGTTTCACGGTCAAATGCAGCTGCCCGCGCACACTGCGGTCTTAAAGGCACCCCCTCTGGTCCACCTCTGGAAACTCATGGTGGAGCAAAATGGGAGTCCGGGCGGTTCCGGGATGGGGAGCCGACGTTCGGGGTTACAGACGAGAAAGTCGCACCCAATCGTTTTACTCTCACTCTAAGCCCAGCGCGCGGACCTGCTCCACCTGCGGGCGTTTTCTGCAGACCGCGGGAGGCCGCAGCCGGGGAGGAGGGGGCGGAGGCAGAGGGGGAGGTGGCACCCAGGGGCCGGGGCCGGGGAGGCCGGGACCATCGTAGTGACAATTTTTTTCCTGCGACGGCGGCAGCAGCTGGGAGTGCTGCTGTAGGCTCGGGATCGACCGGCCTGCGCGTGGGTTTTCGAGGGAGCTGTTGGTGGAGGAGGAGAGGCAGGAGTGGGGCTCGAGCGGGTGGAACTAGCGAAGCTCCGTCGGTCCGCAGAGGAGAAGCGGCGGAGGGTCGGCCGAGGCCAGCGGGCGGGCGCCTCGCTGGGTGCCATCATCTCCCGGCTGCAGTACCTTCTGGCAAAAGCCACCGCGGCCCGGGCTGCGGCGGCCAGACGGATGCCCAGGCCACACGGCAGGCGCGGGGACAGCCGCTGCGGTCGCCGACCCACGCGGGCTCCGGACATCCAGCGCTGCTGGTGAGTAGACGCGCACGCGTGTGTGCGCGTTAGTGTGAGCGCGCACCGGCACCGGCACCGGCACCGGGTGTGCACGCCGGCTGCGTGTGCCCGCTGGCCCCGCGTGCGCAGGCCCCTCTTCCGCTGGAGGCGTCCGGTGTCGGGTCGGGCGGCTCCGCGAGTAGAAAACGCGCCTGGTTGGTGCTCACTTCCTTCCTGCAGGCCCGGCGATCGGCCGCCTCCGCCAGCACTGCCCCTGAGCGGCCCCCAGCCCGCCCCTGGGGGTTACTTTCACCTTGCTGGGAAGGCGGGGAGCTGTGGCCCCTGCTGGCCAGGCGGGACTCCGGCAGGGACCTACACGCGTGTGTTTCTGGTTCAGAGTTGGGATGCAGCCAAGGAGGTGGTGTCTGCATTTGGAGAGCCCACCGCACTGCCTTTGCGGGTGCGTGGCGTGGGGAAGGGCGAGGCGAGGGTTGGAAAAACAGACCTTTACCCCTGTAGGACGCGTAGCACGCCCTTCTTTAAAATGTTGACTTTCATGCCGGTTAGGAGCAAGACATTTTCTCTCACTGAATACTTTAAACCTTAACCGAAAGCCTTTTAATGAAATACCAAAGACGTGGAATGTCACTATAGCATTATGTTCCAGAACACTCTAAAACAACCCGCATTGCTGATAGCTGCCAGCCCAGGGTGCTGTAGTTATTGACTTTGAAAATAAATAACTAGTAAGTAATTCCGGAAACAGAGCCTGATCTAAAGAATTGAAAAATTTCTCAAGCGTTTTGGCGGGGCGGGGGTTGGGTGGCTTTCAGGAAATCAATGTTTGATAGATAGATAGTAAGTAAAAGAGATTATCTCTCAAAGTAAGCTCCAGTGAACACACTGCTTTCCAAACATCCTACTCACCACTGAGAATAAAATTAAGTCCTATTTTTTAAGCAGTTTCCAAAATTACAATGGCTATCACTAGGATGCTGATTTAGGATCTCATGATTCAAGGCCGTTATCAAGGTCAATATGCCAGATTTATTTCAGCAGATAAATACCTGAATTTTGCTTTCCTGGTCCAAGTTTTTAGGTGGAGTTTTCTATAGTTGTTTTACACAGATTAAGCCTCTGAATTCTATTTTTTTTTTTCCATACCTCCTTTCAATCGTAAATATTAAGTTTGTGAGATGGCTAAACTGAACTTCAAAAATGTGCTCTGTGACTGTATTAGTAGCAGGCATTTTGTAGCTCACTATAAATATTTATGATTCTTTTTAATACAACTTAATGTCTTTGAGAAATAGGCTCCTTTTGTTTACCGTTTACTCCATTACAGTTTCTTCACTCAAAGGCATGAAGTATTATTGGCAGTGACCTGAAAAATGAACTGGTTGCTTGTGTTGTGTTCAAGCATATATGCAGCCAGTTGTTTGCCACTTGGTAATCTGCTTTTGAATATAATTCAGCTGTAATATATCAGCTGATTTGGGGGAATTTTAAGGTGAAATTTATTTTTCTTATGATCTTTTGCAAAATAAATAAACACTATTTAAATGATCAGGCAGAGAATCCTAGTCCTGTACCCAGGTGCTGGTCCTCAGGGTCAGTTTCTTGCCTACTTCTGCCCTGTTTCATAGGACTTGTGGCCAGTGAGAGGCTTGAAGGGGGAAATGAGAGGACTGTTGTCCCAAGGGGGTCCTCAGCAGAGAGATTTCTCCTAATAGAGGAGAAGGTCTCTGGAGTTGTCTCCTGAGAAGGACTGATAAAAAATCAGTTAAAGAATTGTTAATAATAGTTACCTCTTTTTACTTGCAGCCCATAGAACTTAACTAAACCCAGTTTTATCCTATTCCTCCTTCAAGGACTCTTGTGAAGCCTACTTACAACTACATTGCAGGGAGTGGGGCTGCATTTTACAGAGAAGAAAAGTCTGGTAATTCTTGCACAAAACGTGAGGGGGTTGAAGACGTGAGGAAATAGGCAGATGCTGCCCAGGAAATGCCAGGGGCCTTCCTGGCAGATACATTTACCAACTAGATACATCTTTCTCCAGTGGATTTGAGGTTCTGTCTAATGCTAGCACTTTTTCTCAACCCTGTGAAAGATTTGTAAGTAACTTCCATTAAAACTATGAGAAATGACTCACGGTCATCCCTGAAAAGATGAGAGCCAGCTTTCTGTCCCTTAGGGCTAATGGATCGTGGCTTCTCAAGAGATATTTGTCAAATGAATAATAATTCTAGAATGTCTTTATCTTCCCAGTTTAGCTGCATCACTTTTTCTAGTATTGATTATTTTTTTGTTTTTAGCCGTCACTTTATATGGATCACAAAACACTTCATCACGTTGAAGTGCCGGTTATATATTCAGCTAATAAGACCAGCTTTCACAACTGAAGGAACAATAGCAATTCTTCCAAACCACAACAAAAAACAAAAAAACTCTGTACTGGTACCTGTTGACTTGCCTATTTGCAACTATCTAAACACGTGAAATGGTCCAATTGTATGAGTGGGTGTATTCAGGCATCCGGAGTTGACATCAGAATGTTCAACTCAGGAATAATCTGGATGTAGCTACATCTGTATGTGGCTTTTGTCAGAAATTATTTTGCATTTCTAAGCAAATCAAATGGACTTGTAGCACAATACTACATCTCCACATGAAGTGGAAAAGCCAATTAAACATTTGGCAAATTGCTAAGTGTTCAAAGCACATGCTGTTTGATTTTCTAAATTTTGAATTAAATCCATGTTTTAAATTATATTTACCATTGGTGTGATTGGTTTAGAGAGAGTTCAGACTGGTGGTTACTTAGTAACTTGTATTTATTAAAAGTAGCCCATTGATATATGCACCAGTAGTTCTTATGTTTTTATGTTTTTGCTCTAGTTAGCCTTTTAAGGTATTCTTAGAAATGGATGCATTATATGATCTTGAATATTAAGGGTGTTATGCCTTCCCTTTTTTAAGAATTGTTCCAAATTCCCATTTTGTCATTGGCAGTTTACCCTATACTTCATGATCTTACTTCAGGATGAAAGATTAGAAAGTTATCTGAAATTTGCCTAGATATTAATGTTATAATGTATGTTAATAATGCACATTTTCTCTTTGATACTGTCTGTATGTCCACAGTTAAGCTTGTTTCATTCTGAATTTAAAAATCAAATGAGATCTTTAAACATTTCAGGGTTTTTTTTCTATTGTGCTATATCCAAAGTAAAAAAAAAAAAAATTACTTATCACTCTTAACATCTGTAACACAAACATTGCTATTCACTGCATAATAAAACATGGCCATTTTTATGTTCAGTTTTATTTGGTAAGTAGGCACCTGAGCAGCTTGAATGAAAGTTAAGGGCATGTTCCTTCCATGTGTTATGAAGGCCCTTGAAAGCCAGGGGGTGGAATTTTGGTTTGATTTGGTAGCCAGTTCAAAGTAGGTTCCTCGATCCTGATGTCCAGCTGCCAAGACTTTTGTTCAAAATGTTTTGCTATTTTTCCTTAATATTTTAGTATTTTGTAAATGGTGTTTTTTCTTGAAATTCTTTACTAAGAAATGTTCCAATTTGTGTTTCACATATACTTTAAAAATAGGTTAATTTTTGTTTTTATGTAACAGTTGACATATGCAGTACATAGTCATTTGTAACATCTCTTCTTATACCCAATGACTCTTTGCTGGTGGCAGGGAGGATATGCCTCCTTAATATAATGTATAATACATATATTATATGTTATTTATATGCATATTATAATGTGTAATATAATATTATGTCATATGATATATATTTTACACAATATGTAGCACAAACATCACATAATGCATTTATGATATACATCTGTATATATTTCTAAATATACAAGAGACAATATATAATATATTCTATATTACATTGTACATTAATTAGGGAGATGTTTACATTATTTATAAAGAATCACTGGGTATAAGGAGAGATGTTACAAATGAGTGTGTGTACATTATGTTATTGGGAAGATATCAGAATTCTGAAAAACTTCTATGCCATCCACCTCTCTCCAGACTCCCAGAGTGTCAGATATCTCCCATTCATGAGCCATGTTGGGTTACAATGATATTTCATAACCATTTTATTCAGAATATTTTATTTGAGTAATGGCAGAAGAAAGTTTAGCTGTTTGTTGACTTGCTGAAGTAATTATACCTAATTATAAGAGACCAAATTTTAATAGGTGGGAAGAATAAAAAATTATTAATTCCTCCAGGGCTTCTGAAGGCTGGAATAGATCTTCACTGATTTCAATACATTAACATTACATTAGTCCTTATAATTCTTTGTTTTCATAAATAACTTTCAGAAATCTGTAACTAATATTATTTTTTTCTAAGCAGGCAAGAGCTTTTCTTGGTCTTGTGTAAAGTTCATGGGTACTATTTGGCTGAGGAACATTTTTTAAAAATCTCATCTTTAAAAATATAGTCTGCATCCTTTGACTTCTTTTGTGTAAATTACATATCATTATTTAACTAAAGTTCAATTCCTTTTAAATGAACTGTTTTTCAGTATTGTGAGTTTAAACATGATTTAAGGATGAACAATTTGAGATTTGGTGAATGGGGTGTGTTTTTTAATTTTTGCTATACTTCACATTAATTGAAACAAGATTCAGCACAGGCTCCTGTAAGACAACAGTTCAGGGTGATTAAATTACTCATTTTGATTGTTTAGCTTGATGATTGAGTAATTTGGAAACAGGAGGCCATTGATGATGACTTATTTTTAACCCTCCCTGGCTCTGGGTGAACACTGCCTTCCTGTTTTGCCTTTGCTCGTGCTTGGGCATAAACTAGTGCGGGTTCCTTTTGAGAGTGTTACATTTCAAACTTGGATGGCTGGGGCAATAATTAACTGCACCATTTAATTCAAGGCAGAAAGAAAACTACAAGCAGGAATGGTGATCATAGTTAAATTCAGCTCCTCTAAAGCCCTGTGATTTTATTTATCTTGTTGCTACAGCCATATCTTTTTACACTGAAAATGTGCATT